CATTCATTACGCCTTTCTTTTTCCTCTCAACCATAATTGTTTCTGTCTGTTAAAACAGATGTGGTGCATTTACAGCTGCTAAATGGCATGAAAATGACCACAGGAGTTGACTAGGAGATGAGTAAGTCCCATTACCCAGCAACAGCAAAAGGTTTTTTGGATTGCCAGTAATTCCAGTGCTGACATACCCTCATGCTGATTACCAGGGCACAGAGGACCATGATCTCAGGGCCATGACCTCAAGGCCATGCCTCAGAGGACCCTGTACAATGACATCCAAATCCAGTTGTAGAGCAAAGGCTGCACAAGAGTCTCAGCAGAAGGGAAGTCAACGCAAATCCAGCAGAAGAGCAAAAGTTCCCTGTGTGGTAACTTAAGAGAACCTGGTCTTTAAGCAGATGGTGATTTGTCTCCACCAAACTTCACAGTGGATAGTTTGAATACTGAATTGGGCTTTGGCTCAGATGGTCCTCAGATCAAAACATGCCAATACATATCACTGATAATTGCCCTGAGGACTTGTTTAGGGACGCAGGATGAAACTTTCAACCCCAGTAAAATAATCCTGATACAACTGCTATTAGACCTGCCTTGTGCTTTTTGCTGTTGTGCGAGAAGAGTGAACAGACAGGACATAGAAGGGCAAAAGCTCCTCCTGCAAGCCTGGCTTTGGCTAGTGCAGGTGTAAACTTGCTTCCCTTCATCAAGCTTGCTTGCTTGCTCCTCTTTCAATTTCTGGTCTTCTCAGTTCATTCCAAGACATCCTACTGTGGGAAAGAAACATGGATGCAGGGCCAAGTCCCCTTTCTTGTGCATTGTGGCATTTTCAGAAGCATCTGATAACTTTAAACATACATCTACCTACAGGATTTGCAATGGCATGCCTGTGGAGAGGCTGAGCTAGCACATCCTAGGCCACCTTCCTGGTTTATACAGGTCTTAGTCATTTCTAAGGTAGGTTGGAGGGGATGTTTTCGGGTCTTCCCCATGCTGGCAGTTCACTAGTCCTCAATCTGCTCCAGCCACCAGCTGCCCATACTGTACCCTTGACAAAATGCTTCTCTGACAGAAAGCTGAAAAGTTCTTTTCATAGACACACTGCCCACAAGGGGTCAGTTCACAGCCTGACAGTTTGTTCCTTTGACTTCATCTCAACTACACCAGCTATTTCCAGCTCAATGTACTTTTTGCAAGTGCTTGTCACTTCCTTAGCAAAGAAACATTGACTCTCAGTGAGAACAGAGGCAACTATAAGGAGGAAGACAGTGAGAAATAGAGACTACATGAAGGGAGGCTACTGATTATTTTCACTAGCACCAACAAAACACAGCTGCACAGAAACAATGTCAGAAAGTGAAGACTACCGTCAGCTGCAGAGGAAGGGTGCAGCAAAATATGCTGAGGGATACAGAGCCTCTCCCATGCAGCACTTAACTCTGAACTGCCCCAGTAGGTATGGAAGGAAGACAAGGGACCTGACAAAACAGCACTGTCTTCAGGTACAGACTGCACCTCTGAGGCTGGGTCTTTTTTATTTTACTTGTGGTTTTGCTCACGTACTTCAGTTTGAAGGTAGTTGGGCAATCACTGGTTGATAGGTACTCTGAAAATACTAACACTAATCCGCTGTTACTAAGGAGGGAAAAATACATCACTTGTAATTAGTGGTGAGTATAGACAACAGTCTGTGAACAAATACTGCATGTTCAGCTTTTAGATGGCTGTGTAGGCAGGCATTGCTTGCTACTTTCTGCCAGCAATTTCTCTGTGCAGCTCCTAGTACTGGAAGTCATGCCACCTGGCTTAACTTCCCTCTGGAACCGAGTGATGATCACAGAAGATTTGTATGTAAAAAGAAAGCCTAACACAACATACCATCTCTCCTTGCTGACAAGTCTAACACACTTTGCACCCAGCAAAAAGAACAAGTTGCATAGGCATGAAAGCCTGAAGAACTAGCCAAGATCTGACCTGGGAGTTGAGTCACAAGACAGTGGCATAGAGAAAGCTTATCTCTGTGCATCTTTTTTTCTTTCATCACATGCTTCTGGGGAAGTCAGCTGTAAAAACAGGAGTTTTGTTCCTGTAATGAGCTTTAGCTTTGTGTGAGGATGCAAACCATGTCAGAGTAGGAGTAGTCCCAGGTGCCAAGTAGAACTGCAATTATCCTGCAACAGCATTTAACAGTTTAAGCATTTACATATGCCTTGCAACTATGGAGTTCCTGTGAAGATGCTGCCAAAACCCTCTCCAGGAGCAGACGGAAGACCAGGGCCTTCCAGACCAGATGTGCAGGGAGTAAGGTCTCTGACAAGTGTGAGCTCCAAGCTGCCTTCCACAAGTTCTTTTCATTCAGGAGCCTCACCAACATCCTTAATCTTTGATCAAGCAAACTCTTGTATCAGAATTGTTTAACCCTACTTTACTACTGCCAAGAAGCTGAACTGCCTCTACCTATACAGGCCATGTCTCTGTTCAGCAGTGACACACTGTCAGTGTAAGAAGCAGATACATCAGCTGCTTTGCCAGGGTAGAATTCTGCTATATCCACAACTGGGAACAGCAGCAGGGATCATAACTTTTGAAAGGTTCAGATAATCATCTTGCAAAACCAGGAACTCAGTAACACCACAGAGCTTTCCTGCAGACTGAGATGTAAAAACTTGATTTGCAAGAAACCCTTCATTTCCTTACCTGGTTCAGTATTTTGTTACTGAAAATCCAATCAAATAACTCTATTCCTGGTATTGGTTTATTTTGTTGAAATAATATACAGCTTAACAGCTCTGTGTCAGAGGGTAAAGGATGTTATTACACCATCCAGGAAGTGGATGGTGAGATAGCTAACCCTGAAAACCAGACTATGCGATCCCTGCAGGCCTCAAGACAGTGCTTTGAACACAAAAATACTCCTTGTTCACTTACTACTTTATCAAAGGGAAGGGCAAAAATATCCTACAAACAGATTCAGAAACAGCAATTTATCCAGGTTTATGCATCAAATCACAATTCATGCAGAAGCTATAAATACAAATGAAAACATTGTTTAAAATATTTCATAACACATCATAACTTCAGAGCAGACTTCAGCTTCAAACTACTCAGCAAAAATCCAGTTTCATTGTTAGGTAATTAGTTGGCTAAGGTATTGACTGTGACAAGTTTCAACCTGAATACACTTAGACAAAAGACCTTCACATTTAAAATATATTATTTTACTATATTTAGTCAAAAAGATAAGAGATTTATCATGCTTTTCCTCATAAAAGGTTAAACTTTAGAACAGGCCTCCTAAGTTGATAGAGCAGGCTGTTAATGAAGATATTTTGCCCCAATCCACAAGCAGCTCTGCTCTGAGAAGCAAACCACTATTTTATACGCAAGTTATCACTTTTATCATGACACCCTTGTTTTCAGTGTAAGCTCTACACTTTCATAGCTTCTGTTGACCTCTTAAAGATTTTCTTCTTTTCTTTTGCTGTTGTTTCTTAAGCTAGACACTGAACTTGTGCATTACCATTTGAGCCAATTATTTCTGTACTCATTAACAGACATAGTTGCTTTTTGATGAGTAATGCTGAAGTTACTTTCCTAGACTAACCATACCTGCTAAATCTCCTCACAGATATGCAGCTTGTATCAGCATAACAGTTTACACCAAATCCCAGACACAGTATTTTCCCCAGGATGAACGCTGTGCTTCTCAGGCTGCTGCCAGTGTAGAAAAGCTGTGCGTGCACACACACACACTTCTAAACTGCATTAGGATTGCCTCTGGAGAAGACCTGGTGGTCAAGCAGCCCATTTTTCACTCTTCTCCTCTCAGTCCTGAGAAAGTTCTCGGTTTCTTTTCAGCACTGCCTCTCCAGGGCACTGTCAATCACACGAGAACCATATGACACTTCTCAGAGCCCCAGAACATCACCACAGAACAAAGCAAGGCCTCTCTGCTTCCCACTCTTTGACGGCCCTTTGTTTTAAAAGGTACATTTGGGAAAGTTTACATCCCATTAGGCATTCAATTTCCTTTCTCTGCTTAGTCTCAAGGCCTGCTATGTGTTCTTGAGATACTACTAGCTTTGGATTAAGAATGCTTCCTTCCCTTTTGCAATGGGCACCTTTGGTTTACAGTCCCCAGGACAGACTGTTCACATCAGAAGGTTTTCACAGTATCACTAACATCCACCATAAAAAGAAAAGTCTGGAGCCTCAATGTGGGCAAAGTGGCCGTAGCCACCTGAATTTAAATGACCTCAGTCTTCCAGAAAAAGGTCCAATTTAAAGAAGGACCATCTTGTCCCATTTCAGGTTGTTTTAATTTTTCTTCATAATTTACTCACAAAATCCTCCAGGTTAGCAGAGCCACTTGGATAAACGCTACAACACGGGGCATCCTCAAATATGCAGATTTTGGCTCCAATAGTCACATAGCACAGATACAAACGTTAATGTTAGTCTTTCTCTATATGTAATTTTGCTCTTGTCCACTAAACACCCGACACTCATCTGAGTAGCTGACTGCATGTAATATTCACAATCTGACAAAGAAAAACAAGAGTAATTTCAAAGAGCAGCATGCCTCAGATATCAGGTGCATTACACACTAGGCCTTTCAGATGCTGGACCACTAAGAAAGAGGAAAAAACCCAGAAATTCTGGATTAGATGAAGTTAAGCCTAGAATATAAATTGCTTGGCTTTGTGGATCTGGCAAGGCTACCAGTGCCACAATCCCTCATGTACAGGCACTGTACTCCTTAACTTCGATGAGGTTATGTTGTACCTTATGAGAAGCCACTGTTTTGATACAGCAGATCTTCCAGCACCTGTGATACCCTAAACAAGAGTGAGAATCCACATTTCCACTGGGAAAGTAAGGAATTCTTTGCCTAGTCCTTCACACCTTTTTTCATATCCACTCCTGAAGCCTACTACTAATAAAAAAGTACTAGTACACAGGAAGATTAGTTCAATTGCTCATATGTAATAACGTCAAGGAGTTCATCTTCGTTTTGTGCCCCCAAACCCTGCAAAGACAAGAAAATAAAAATTGTCAGCTCCACCATAGCCTTTCCACAGAGCTCTCTAGCTCTGAAAAGGCTGAAAGTGACAAGTGAGACGAGTTAAACATATTCACATAAAGCACAAAAGCAAGCAACTGTGGGCTGACCGGCCTGAGAAATATTCTATTCTTGCAGATTAGATGACCTGTTTTCTACAAAGAACATGCTTGTACATGTTTGCCAGAGAAGGGCATGGGTAGTGCATTCCAAAGGGGAAAGCCTTAAACTAATGCACCTTGCAGACAAAGACAAGCCCGATATTGGTGGTACCATGCCTACTGTAGGCTGGTGGGGAGCTCCGTGTCCCACAGTGCTGCCACAGTTCAACAGGAAACAGAAATAAGGGAAATTGTTACATGCCTACTTGTACCAATTGGTAAAATAAAACATAGAATGCTTGCTGAACCTCAACACGTGTGTATTTTTGATAGGTTCAATTCTCTCTAGCTTCAGGAGATTAAAGGGCCTTTTGCCTTACCAGAAGCAGTTCTTGTTCCTGAACTGCTACCTTGCGTGGCATTGCTTGGCTGACCATTCATTGGAGGTGCAGCTGTGGGATCTGTCCACATATTGTAGTATGGGGAATGTGGCTGTGCTCTGATGAGAAACAGAGGAGAAAATTTTTCATAATGTCACTAATGAAACCTAAGTAGTTACCATTCCAAACAAGGGGACTGCAACTGAGGGAAAACCCTAAGCAGGCAGTTGTTTCAAAGCTTGAAATCTCCCCATTTAATGCATTAACATGTTGAGAGCAAGAATATCCAGTGTTGTCACAATAACACCTGTAGACTTTCAAAAGGAAATTAAACCTCATTCTTCAAGATAAGCAATTCTAACAACTGAAAATGAGGAAATACTTCCCTCTGAAATTCTGACATCAGATTTTCTCAGACAACAAAGTAGATTTGACACCTGAAGCTTAAATACACTTTGGCAGTGCAGACATCCCAGCCATGTTAAGACAAAAAAATAAAAAACCTGTTTTGTTCTTTTAACTACTTTGAAAATGTTGTATCATTAAGACTAATGTAATGACCTTTGACTCGCTGATTTAAATTGCTTGCTTCTATGGATATGGAATTTCTGCCGTTGAAGTTTACAAATGTATCTCTCACACGTTCTGACCAGCATTTTCAGGCACATCATTTCAAGTGACTGAAAAGAATTACAAAATAAGTAGACTGTTTTAAAAGAAAAGAAGCCTAAGTCAGAAAGCTTGTTCATATACTTGGGCTTAAATACTCAGTTCAGCCCCTAATCTTGAACAGTAATGAAACTACTGAAATGGGGTGCATGTGTGGAAATCAAGGAACCAGCCTGCATGTAGATCATACGTAAATACAATGCTTAAACACAAGGGACAAATTTAAGACTTAAGAAGTATCAAGTCAACAAAACCTTTAGGACACACTTTTTATCATTCTTAGTGCAGTTAATATAGTAAGATCATGGAATCATATGGTCTTTTTGGTTGAAAAAGACCTTTAAGATCATCAAATCCAAGATACCTTTTAACCTCTAAAGCTCTACTTGAGGTGGTTTTATAGACAACTTCTACTGTCAATGGCTTCATCATCCCAGTTCCATCTTACTTGACTGTATGAGATCAAGACTGCACATTAGGCACTTCAGAAATTCTCTTACCTCCTAAGTTTTTACTTCCTTAATAAACAGGCAATCCTGATAATGCTTCTGTCATTACAAAAAAACCCAAACTTTACAATGGAGGCAGATGCTTTAACACAAACTTTCAATATAGAAAAATGTATGTGGCTATATTTAATCTGTTATATTACTGCATTCCTACAGGATTAGACTTGATACACATACCGTTATTTGATAAACAGAGTAACCTGGTTGGGCTCTAAAGATTCCCTGAAAGAGCACATATTTTCTCTAGTGAAGCCTAAAATGGCAGCAATCTCTCCCTTTAAACTGTTTATCTAAAAAGGATGTGTTTTGAATGTTTAGAAGTGTTTAGCAAATATGAGCAGCAGATGTTCACTCCAGCACTGAAACTGCCTTTGAATACTGTCACATTTTTTCCAAAGCACAACTTACATATGACCTAGAAGTTCTTTGGAAAACCACACCTCTTGGATCTCCACACATGGGTCACTGGGAGACTGGAGATTAAAGGCTGTTAAATTTGACCATACCGAGTATCACAGAAGGGCAGCTGCCATCCAGACTGACTTTAGGAGGGATGACAGTGGTACAAGAAAACAAGGTTTTATGCTTAATATTATTATCTGTGTTTTAGGACAGCCTGAGGATGTATTGTTTAAATGCTCATTTTAAATCTGCAGGCCATCATGCTAGGTCAGAGTAATCAGCTAAAGCAGAATGAAGTACCTCAGTCCTCCCAATTCCTCTTACCCAGAAACATGTTTAAAATGTCTTTGCTGCTGGAGCTATAGCTTGCCTCTCAAAACTGTTCTGGCAGTAGGATTTTATGGCTTGAACAATACAGGCCTGAAAGCTTAGAAGCAATGCAAATGCAGCGTACACCATAGCCCCTAAAAGCTTAAATACATAAAATCTGGTACCATGTATATTTTACCTGTGACTGCCAGCCAAGTAGCCTAGCAAGCCTCCTGCTCCTAATCCAGTCCAAAATCCTGGTCCTGAACTGGTTCCGTGATAGGAATGAGTCCCAAAGCTGTTGTCATCTTAAATAAAATGAAGATGAGAAACAGATCAGTTAGTGGCACCTAATCCTCAGGCCAGCTGTTTCAACAAGACTATCCCCTGTTAAAGAAAATGGAAAATTAGACAATAAACTTGTTCCAGTTTCAGTAGATTCTTGATGAAGCTTAAATTGAAAAGGCCCATAGTTTGGAAACCAGGAAAAAACCCCAAAACAAAACGCAGAAACAAACACTACTGTACAGAGTTTTATGTTAAAAATTAGCTTCCACTCACAGCCCTGACATTTGCAAAACATGGCAAAGAGTCCCTGACTGCAGATTTATAAACAGACAAGTTAGATTAAAAATAGAAAGAAAATGAAGAAAGAATAATTGCTCAAGGTCACAGAGCAGGCCAGGAGCAGAACAGAAATGAAGCAGATAAAAATCAAACAGTGAACTAACCACTAAGATACCCAGCTTTTAATCTCATTCAGAACTGCTGCACATTTTGAGTAACAGTGGCTCAGTCTAATGGCTAACGTTACTTTGTATTGTTTCTGGTACTCCTAGTCTGGTATTTGTTATCAAAAGACACCCTAACTGCAGTCACATTTCAAAGTTCTCATTATGCATGAGTCACCAAGCTTGACAAATACTGCAGTGAAACTGCAAGCAGATCAAGTGGGTTATGGGGGAAGGAGACTCACAGGTTTTTCACATGTGACCTGCATAACATTACGTTCTGACTCAGAAACAAATGTCTTCTTCCACTTAGAAATAAAAAGAGAAAACACAAAACCAAAGTAGAATTATTTTCTGGTCTAGAGAAAAACACAGATGCAAGAATAAGCTCAACCACAATTTTAACACATAAGGAAGTATAAAAAGGCAAGGACTGAAGGTAACATCAGGGTCTTCCTGAAGAATGTCCACCTAAATAAGTGAAACAGATTTTGTACGTAGAAGTTATATGGGGCCTTGTTTATCTTCAAGCTGGTGTGGATTGTTTGAAATTATGAAAGATTAAAAAAGCCCACCAGTTTAAGTGTTCATGGGATATGATGTTGAATTTCAATTTGAACGCACTGGGAAAAAGATAAACTCTCAATGGGATGATATAACCATTAAACTAAGCTGATTTGGAACAACAACAACAAAAAGCACACTTAATTTATAAAGCACTGTTAATCGGGAAGATGAACCAACTCATTTGTTCAAAAGCACCATGGCTGAACACTGGCTCAGAAAATTGAGTCATTTCTTGTTAAAATCTCTAGAGTAAACATCAAGGAACACGTCAAACCACTAACAGAGAAAAAGGAGAACTTAATTAAGATAGGTTAGCTAAACAAGTTTCACAGAATACATCCTGCATGTTTAGGGGATTTCAAATGAAGCAAATTAAATATTAACAGCAGTTAAGTGAACAACATTGCTTTTCATTACCGTCCAGATTTTCAAAGACTAATACATTTCTGTATGTGTGGACATACACACTGAGATGTGCTTTTGCTGCGTTGCCAAAATTTAAAGCAGACACTGGATTAACTAAATAGCATAGTATTTAATATTTTTAAGCTGGCCCCACATTCAATAGGTTTTCCTCCTCATTCAGTTTGAAATCCAGGGAAAAAAAAAAAAAAAAAAAAAAAATCACTGACACTTGTTATTAAAAATGTTGTAAGTTAAGCCTCCTATGGCTCCCAATCTGCATTTTAAAGCATCTCAATTTTCAGTAATCATCAAGAAAATGTATTTTCAAGGGCCTACCCTTGCTAGATTTCAGACTCCTGCAATGAAAAATGCCTTGGTGCAATTAACTGGTCAGGAACAGGACAGGAAAAAAGAGAGAAACTCTTCATTCTGTCTGCCTGTGCCTAATATGACAGAGTCCTGTCTTATGACCAGAGCTTTTAGAAACAAATACAATAATGCCAGTGGCAAGTTGCATGTCTGCACTAAGTCACAGATGCACCACAGCATAGACAGACTGTCTGAGGTCTGAAATAACTACACAGAAACCAATTTGCAAAGCCACTAGTAATACAGAGGCTAATAATAACTAATTTTTCCCTCTAATTTTCTGCTGCAGGTCCATCTGAAAGCGTTGCATGTGCCCTGCACAGGGGTATCCAAAACAGTTACACTGGCACCCTCTGTTGGCCAAATGGCATGAGCCAACCTGGAGGAAAGCATTGACAAGCGTTACTAAAACATAAGCTGTTGACTAAGTAAACTTAATCCTTGCTCTTTATTTACTTGATAGAACCCCTTCTCTATGTCACAAAAAAATCCAAACCAAACAACTTGTCAGAACAGAATTTGAGTTCCAATGCTGTGAGTATCTCATGTGTTCACAGGGTTAAATGAGTTGGTCACGCACCAGATGAATCATGTTTATTTCCTGTAGACACTGTGACCCTGTAAGGCAGACCATCAATTAAGAGAAAAAAGTAACCAGTTTTCTGGGGGAAAAAAGTGCATCTTTTCCTAACAGAAGTCTTGTCACTGTACATGGAATTTCCAACTTCAGATGAAAGGCACCACGAGACTGACACTGTTTTATGCTCTAGGAGCCAAATCTTCCAGGTACTACACTGAAGCACCTGTTAAACAGGACTGGTACATGATATTCAACTCCATCAATTGCTTTGTGAATGAAATCAGGGGTCAGCAGCCCAATGACTGAAAGACCATTCTGCAAAGCTTCAAAGTGCTTCTTTGGCATGAGTCTGTTTCTGCCTCTGTGAGACCATGCTATCTTCCAGATTTCTTATGGAAATTATTCTATCACAATCCTTCTATTTCTCAGAGCATGAAAAGAACACTTGCAGAGCGCAGGGAGATGGATTTTCAAAGGGTAGCTTGCCCTGAAAGCCTGTGGTAAACCAAGTTCTTATTTTCACTTTTGAATGAAGAAGAGAATGCAATGCTGGCTGCAGGTTCTGCAGCTAATTCACAGAGGCAACTGCCAATACATTGTTTTAAGTCCATCCCACCTGCGCTTACTGCAAACAGAACAGGACCATCCTGCCCGCTCTTTTGAGGTCTGTAAATGCCTTATAGCCCTACCTGTGAAGCTGGACTTAAAACCAGGAGGAGGAGGTGCCTGATGACTCTGCCAGGAAGACCTAGTGAATCCATCACCATCACCAGAACTCTGCTCAGGCTGCTGGTTACTGAGGAAGAACTTGTATATTCCAAAAGCAAGAGCCAGGAGAACAACTACAAGAATCATTCCAGCACCAGAATCAGAAGAATCCTTCCTTGACTGAAAATAACTAAAGCTTCCAGGGTTCTTCACTTTCCTTTCACCTTCCTCAGTCAGCTCTAGCCTGAACAGCAAACTACAGGAGCCCTTTAAGATGTAAGGATCATCTGGGTAATCATAGCCTTCACAGCTCACTTCCATCCGTCCAAACCGGTGAGAATTTTCCAAGTCTGCTTTGCACTGCCACTGAAAAGAGAAAAACACAGAGTAAAACCTCCCGCTCCACGGACGAAAACACCTGTTTGCTCCCCCAGATATGCTCTGAAATAAAGCTGCAATTGCTAACAAACCATCTAAAAGACCACAGGATAGGAAGTTTCTGAGCTTTCTTATTTTGAAAAGGACAGAGAATTTGAAGTTAAGCAAGACTGGTTATTTTTTTAACTTCCAGGATTTTAAAGGACAATCTTTAAAAACACGGAAAGGTTATAAGTCTGAGAGGTCCACTGAACAGGTTTTTCAAGTATCCCTTCTTCAGGTACAGGAATACTTCTAAAAATAACTTGTAGCCCGTGCAACAGTCTGTTCCATGTGAACTGGACGGCAGTTGCAAAAACATAATATGGAAGCCTGAAATCCAGTGGACCTGATGACATTTGTGTCCACACAGAAACCAAGAGAAAATGGGATAGGCATCATTAGGTATTCATATGCAACACTTTAACAATCAGACCTCAGTTATGCAGTTGAATGTATGTTAATTCCTCAGTCTCATTTCTAACTGCAAGTGACACATTTTTTTGGGAGGCCCCTCCCCCCCCACAGAGAAAAAAGGAGTTTCTAAATTACAGGACAGCAGTACCAACTGCCAACTCAAGTTTGACTGTACTTTTGCAATACTGCATCAGTTTTAGCAATTATCTTCAGCCTTGATTCCTGGTTAATCTATTGTTAGAAGCCTAGGCTGTAGCTAACAGAACAGAAATATCTGACTATTTACCAACTAGCACTGACAAATGAACGTGCAAAAGGAAATGGTGCATGTAAGTCTGAAATTTAGCTTTTAAAATGTAAAGCTGAAGTGATGCAAATATTTATAGCCCTTTCTACACTAATAAAAATTGGAAATCCATGCAGCAAAATCAAAGCAAAAGCATCCTCTGGAGGTCACAAAAACTTGGTTTTCTAAACCCTAGCAACACTTTAATTAAAACCAACGAAGGTTTGCTACACAGAGTTTTTACATTAGAGACCAGGGGAATATTTCAAAGCTATATGTACAGTACAGAAAACCCAAATCCAAGAAGTGTTTAGATTAGGTTTTAGTTGTTAAAGGTCCTCTAACAAAAAGCAAACTGAACTGACTTGGGCTATGTTACTCTTTTCTCCTTCAGAAGTGGCCTAGTCGGGGGAAAAAGCATTTCATTAAACGCTTAACAAGTTTTAGACAGTTACCTGCACATCATAGCCATCCCAACCTTTGTTGTAACACTGAACAACCTCCGGGACGCGGGAGCATCCAGCAGTGCCTCCCGTGCACTGTAACTGAGGGACTGCAGCTGTCCGCCGGGCTGTCGTGTACTGCCCTCTGTGGAGAGTGAGCGCCTGCACCTCCCGCAGCAGAACCCTCCCTGAAACAGGTGGCACAAAGGTCAACATTTGTCCAGATGCCACACGGACCTCCTTTCAGGACAAGGCTGCCGACACAAAGGACGCAACAGCGTGCTTCTTTAAGAGGCGAAGCCTTCAGAAGCAGCAGAGTTCCCCGTCCCTTGGGGACAGGATCTGGGTTATTCCTCCCAGAGCGTCCAACCACGGCGGACCGCACAGCGGGGTTATTACTGCGCTACAACACGATTTAAAACGAGCCAAAACCAAGAAGCCTTCCTGGTGGAGGCCCAGAGCTTCCCCCTCCCCACACC